TCTCAAAAACTTTGAAACGCTATAACTCGGCTCAAAATCATCGTAGAAAGATGATTTTTGTCTTTTTTTGATGAAGAGAATTTTTAGATTTTGAAAAAGTATTTTTTTTCAGTTTTCTAAAAAATCCCGAAATTCAGATTTCTCCCAAAAACTCGGCTCAAAATCGTCGTAGGAAACTGATTTTTGTCTCTTTTTTATTCAGAAATCCCAGGAGTTTTACCTTATTATTACTATCGTTCTCCACTTCAGGATGTCGATTGGATTCCGGTGGTTCTGGTTCGGGACACTCCACATATGTCCTTTCGGCCCATTCCGTTCGCGTTTTCGGCCACTCGCCACCGTCTTCCGGACTGGCGCACTCGGAAAATTGATGGTGACGGGCGCCCTGGAAGAATTTGAATTTTGAAAATCACATTTTTGAAATCAGCAAGTCAGGAGCTTTTGAATAATTATAGACATGATTGTGTTGAAAGGAATTTTGAGATAAAAAATTAAAAAAAGGGTCAATTTTAAAGCCCTGAAAAAGTAGTCCGAAATTTTTCAAATTGTCTGAAAATTTCAGAGTATACAAAGCAAAACTAGAGCTTAAATTTTGTAGTTGACCACCTTTTAATAAACTTAGGTCCTGAGGAGATATGCCACGTGGAAAAAGGCACCCCCTTTTGAAGTGGCGCTACCACCTTCTCTCTCCGGAAAAAAAGGGGGGGGGGGGTGGTGGCGCCTCCTCAAAAGGGATGCCTTCTTCCACGTGGCATATCTCCTCAGGACCTGATTTTTCAGAAATGCTGTCAACTACAAAAATGAAGCTCTACTTTTGTTAAGCATACTTAGAAATTTTCAGATACATTGAAAAAGTTTGAAGTACTTTTTGGGACACTGGAAATTAACAATGTTCAAGAGGTGGTATTGGCTATGCTAGAATGCGTTCGTTTCCACGTGGCATATCTCCGCAGGACCGAATTTTACGAGAAAATCGCTAACTACAAAATTCAAGCTCTAATTCTGTTTAGTACAGTCTGGAAATTTCAGAAAAATCGGAAAGTTCTGGATATTACTTTGAAACACTTAAAAATCGACTATTCTCCTTTAAAAACGCTAAAATGTGATTTTTTTGACATCATTTTCTCCTAGAGAAATCAAAATAAATCCTATATATTTTGGTGTGGTATTGTAGCTACAGTAGTAAAAATTGCTTTAGTCAAATTTCTATTTTTTGGGAGTTTTAACCCCTCAATCGGTGCTCCTGGAACTCATAAGATGACCGAAAAAAAGTGACGATGATTAATAAATATGCTTTCTGGTCCATCTAAAATGCCGGAGGGCACGCTTGACGAGACACCACTTTAAGACTAAATCCGATGTGGGGTTTTAAATGGTCCCTTCCCTTAGCCCCCCCCCCCCCGCACACATGATTAAGAATGAGCAACCTCTTGATTCATTAAAGTACTCCTACAGAAAAAAAAGGAGTGGGTGCAAAAAAGGAGCAAAAAGACAAAGGAGAGAGGATTAAACTTACGTAGCCAGACTTAAAAGATTTGGTGGAAAATGTACGTTGAAAAATGTTCTTTTTGATGTCATCATCAGACAAGAAATCACCGTCACCGTTGGTTCTGGAAAAAGCGGAATTTTTTCGGAAAAATTGAGTTTGAAAGAGTGAAATTTTGATTCAAAACTTGGGAAAAATGGAGAAAAGCAAAGCAAGTTATACTGAACTTCCGAATTTCTGAATTTCTGAATTTCTGAATTTCTGAATTTCTGAATTTCTGAATTTCTGAATTTCTGATTTTCTGAATTTCTGAATTTCTGAATTTCTGAATTTCTGAATTTCTGAATTTCTGATTTTCTGAATTTCTGAATTTCTGAATTTCTGAAATTCTGAATTTCTAAATTCCTGAATTTCTGAATTTCTGAATTTCTGAATTTCCGAATTTCTAAATTTCTGAATTTCTGAATTTCTGAATTTCTAAATTTCTAATTTCTGAGTTTCTGAATTTCTGAATTTTGAATTTCTGAAATTCTGAATTTCTAAATTCCCGAATTTCTGAATTTCTGAATTTCTGAATTTCCGAATTTCTGAATTTCTGAATTTCTGAATTTCTGAATTTCTAAATTTCTAATTTCTGAGTTTCTGAATTTCTGAGTTTCTGAATTTCTGAGTTTCTAAATTTCTGAATTTCTGAATTTCTGAATTTCTAAATTTTTGAATTTCTGCATTTCTGAATTTCTGCATTTCTGAATTTCTGAATTTCTGAATTTCTGAATTTCTAAATTTTTGAATTTCTGCATTTCTGAATTTCTGAATTTCTGAATTCCCCATTTCTATAATTTTTGGCTAAAAATTCCAAGATTTATAATTTTTATTTTTAAAACAATCCAACCTCTGCTGCTTCCGCTGCTCCAAAGAGCCCACAACAGCCAGCTCGACAATTGATAAGAATATATAGACAATACATCCAAACATGAAGAGATCCAATCCTTTTACATATGAGACCTAAACAATTAATTTTTGAAAATTTAAATTTTTGAAAAAATTCCTAAAAAATTGGAAAAAAGCAAAATTGAGTGAGCCGAATTGTGATTTTTGTGATTTCTGGTGTACAAATGTGATTCAAAAAATCAATTTTACCGATGTCAACAGCAAATTCGGAGTCGGATTGAACTCCCAGGACTATACAGTAGTATTTTTGTTCAAGATTTTCGAAAAATCTTAAAAATCATTGCCTCACCTTTGGTAAACTTCTGGAAACGTTGGAATACTGTAGTGTGAGAGCCATAAGTGACGAAACGCCCAATGTGACACGTGCCGGAAGACTCCGACGGTCCAGCCAGAATGAAATCCACGAGATTAGGACCATACAATATGTGGGTAGGTAGATTTGGAGAATGTAGAACCCGTAGGAGCGTCGGAAGAGCAGTTTTATGTTGAGCTGGAAATTTTTAATGGGGTACACAGTTATAGTACTAAGTCATGGTCCCATATGGTACAGAGTCGTGATTCCATACGGAATGGTGTCATGGTATCATATGGTACGGAGTCATGGCACTATATGCTACGGAGGTGATGGTGTCCTATGTTACGGAAAATTAGCTCCCCATAAGCCATCGTGTGGTTTTGAAGTATGGTAGAAAGAGCACTATGGTAGCATGCTATGGTGTCGAAGAAGTTCAAAATGGTACAATGCATGGTACCATGTAGTCGAGATCAATCAAATCAAGGCTCAACAATCAGGTACTAATTGATAAGTTTATGGTATCATATAACCGAAAGAAGAGAAAAAAAATGGTTCCATTTTGTTGTACCATGAAATTTAATATGGTTCTAGAGGTAACATAATACGTTACCATTACTCTACCATAAGGGCAGTTGTACCATATGGTATGGATAGTGAGCTCATGATATAGAGCTATGGTTCTTTATGGTACGGACTGAAAGTGGTACCATACCTTAATATGTACCATATTAGGAACCATGGTACCACGATGGTCACTATAATGTTTCCCAATATGACACCATCTGAAGTGATACGAGCAATGACATCAAGTAAGGTTCCATGGCAGAATCTATGGTACCAATGAATATACCATAATAGTATTCATGGTGAGACACCAGAATTGGAACACGGTTACCATAGATGGAACAATGCTATCAAGTAAAATACCATAAGGAAAAATAGTACCAATGGAAATGCTATGCTACATATAAACTATGGTACTAAATGAGTTGCCATGATGAGAACCATGGTACCATAATGGGAATCATAACATGATACCATACAAAATAAGGTACCATGAAATCAGAATTTCCTACGATTTCTGACCCTTCACACCTCCCCCAAAACCCTCAATTTATCTTTTTCCAAGTTTCAAAAATTGGATTTCTAACAAAAGTGAAGTGTCATTTGTTGATAGAATGATGGATGTCTTTTAGCTCAAAAGTGTTTAGCACATCTGACTGATAGCACATTGATTGACAAGAGAGAAGGAACAAAGGGAAATGTAATGTAGTATGTGGCGAAAAATAATAATAACAAGAGAGACAAAAAATGGGGAACAACTGTTTAGTGGTTTCAGTCTTACCTGATCCCAAACACCAGCCGGATAGATGAATGTCGCTTTTTCGTGCACAAATTTTGTCATGTGGAAATCAGGAAGTTTGACGTCATCGATGAATTCGACGGGTTGTCCTTGACGCTTCCAGTGCAGACGGACCTGAAAATTTCCCAAATTTAACGAATTTGGACTTCTTTCGCCCCTAAAAATAAAGTGTTCAAAATTTTCCAATTTTTCTGAAGTTTGCAAAGTATATTAAACAAAACTAGAGCTTCATTTTTTTAGTTGACAACTTTTCTGTGAAATCAGATCCTAAGGAGATATGCCACGTGGAAGAAGGCA